CGGGTCGGGTGCGTGCGTGGACGTACGGTCGCGCGCGCGCGTCGCGACGCGCGCGACGCGGAGGCGGCGNGGNGGNGNGGGGGGGGGGGGGGCACCGACGACGAGGTGGACGGCGAGAGCAAGCTCTAAACCGCCCGGGCGAGGGGGAGGCTGCTTCCGTCGCGAGGTTACCGAAGCCAGCACAGCGTCTGGAATGCCGCGCCGGATTCGCCGCGTTCCAGTCCCGGCCTATTGTTGTGCGAGCAAAGGAGTGCTTCCGGGTGGTGACAAAAAGGCTCCCCGGCTGTAGGCAGTGCCGTCGATAGTCATATTGTGCGTCTCATGTCGACAGACCCATCGGAAGGTCTGCAGAGAGCCCTCGCCCGCGGCCGCGGCGACCAGCTTGAGCGAGGCAGGTCAACCCTTCGGGTGCCCCTCCATCACGTCTGCCTGGCACCGCTTGTCCTCCTCTTCCGTGCTTCTGCCTCATCGTCGTGAGGCGGTCGCAGATTTTCACCCGCTTCTCCCCGCGTCGCCATCGTACCGACAGCCAAGCTGACCCAGCCTGCAGTCAGCGTGCGTTGCGTGGCGTCGTGCGGAGCGTGGGGGACAGGCCAGCGACGAGGCAGGTCGCTCACACGCAAGCCTCTTTCGCCAATTCGGCTGTCGGAGCAGCGACGGAGAAGGGCGGAGGATTACTGTAGCTGCCCTTAAGGTCCGGTGCCTGTAGGCAAGAGACGTGGTCGATGAGGCGGGTGGATGGGAGGGATACGCTCGCCCGACGCGCTGCCAAGGTCGGAGAGAAATCGGGCAGGCAGGGGCCGGACTCCGTAAGCCAAGACGAGGGCTGCCCGACTGCATGTACACCCAGCCACGGAGCGAGAGGGCGAGGCGAGCTGAGGGAGCACAAAGTCGGCAGAAGCTGAGTGTGGTGTAGCGTGGTGAGATGTGGTGTGGTGGAGTGCGAGCGCTCCACCGGGTTGATGATGGTGGAGGCCGGAGGGGGCCAGATTGAAGGGGTCCACGCAGCGGAAGGCGGATGCGGGTGCGGGTGCGGGTGCCGGTGCGGTTGCGGTGCGGCGGCCAACCCCCGAACTCGCCGAGTTTGGCAGGCGGCTAGACGAACTCGAGCGGCTCGGCAAGCAAGGCCAGGGCCCGAACCTGGTTCCGGCGATTCCTTCGATGCCCTACAGTGGGCCTGCCAGTAGTCAGGCAGGCTACATAGGCCCTGCCTCGAAGCAGCCCAAGCAGCGTCATGGCTGGCTGTCTGGACCGGCCCGATCCTTGCCTCACCTCAGCGCAAGCGGGCGCTGACCTACCGTTTTCCACGCAAACGCCGTCGCTCTGCTTGCTTGTTCTTCGCATCAAGCCCAAATCGCTCCGCCCGTCGCATGGCCTGCCCTGGCGTGGTTGGCCGGCCTGCCCTCGCGTGCCGTCGCCCCCTTCGTCTTCCTGCAGTTGCGCGGAGCTCGAGATCCCGGTTGGCCCTTGCTTGGCGCTTGGCCCCCGCCTCGACGACCTCAAAATAGACCTCGCCTCTGTCGGCGACGACCGGCGTTTGCACGGCCAGGAGCAGCAGCCACGCCGACGCCATCGTGAGGCCCACTCTGACAAGCGGGAGAGCAAGGCTTGCTGGGTGGTGCTGGTACGGTAGCCAGGTCTGACTCTGCAGCGCCGCCTCGATGACGTTGAGCCGGAGCAAGACGCTTGCTTGCTCGGGCGAGTCCAGTGCCGGCTTCCGGTAGCGCGCTGGCTGGCTGACCTGCGTCTCGACCGGCTTCGGGAAGGACATGATGCGAGACCGATGCAGCGAGCTACGGTATGGTATGGTACCGTTAGCGTGCGTAGGTAGCGTAGGGGCAGCAAGTCGAGGTCGGCCGAGGGGTCCCTGTGAGACAAGCAAAGACTGGCAGGCGACACTTCTTTAGGTTGGTCTCAGATGGCAGCGTCGCGCGCGACCAGGTTCTCGAGCACCATCGGCCTGCGATGGATTGGATGCCTCCCTCATCGTCATCCGAGCGTCGCTCCGGCCAGGGAGCGACGAGTATGCCATGCCGGCCGAAGGGCCGAGCCTTGGCAAGGAGGGCAAGCAGGCGTCCGTCTGCGCGCAGACCCAAGGGCGCGAGACCGTCCCAGCTGGGAGGATGGCGTAGCCATTGGAATGGCCTGCTGGGCGTGGTCGAGTAGCCGTCGCGGGTTGGATCCGGCATCGCGCGCTTCCTATTGTCCGCAAAAAACCGACCGATCTCGGCCCTGGCCCGCAAGCATGGGCTCTCCGCTGTGCAACGATCTTTGTCGGTGCGATGCGTCCATACAATTCCCTCTGGCTTGGCGTGATGCCATGAAAGAAGAAGAAGAGGAAAAGACCGCGCGGTCGGTCCAACGGATGGAGCAGACCTCCGCCGCATGGATCAGATCGCCCTACGGATCTCCAGCGCGCAGGTAGGAGGCCGGCAGGAAAGGCGATACCAGCCCCGGGGGACCTACCATCGAGCAGAGAGCCTTCTTTGGAGAGAAGCCACGATGAAGCCGGATGTATCGGCACGACGAGATCGATGGTGGTGGTGCTTGCTTTGCCTTGGCCGCTCGCTCGCACGAAGACGGCGAAAAAAGTGACACCAGTCCGGGAATGTGGAGCGCAAGCCATTCGAGCGAGACCTGCGCGATCGGGTCGTCGTCGCACTGCCTCTTGCTTCTTTCTGCGCGCTGTCACGACCGCCGTCGCACCGTCCAGCACGACTGGCGCTCCATAGGGCAAGGATGGATGGGATCAGCTCGGATCGCACTGCACCGCCAGCCGCCGACCCAAACCGGAACTCGCCGTCGAGAGCGGCCGCCGCTGCTGCTGCTGCTCCTTCCGTTGACAATCAAGCCGGCAGCCGAGTCAAGACTCCTCTGTCGGCCTGGTTGGCTGGCGGTTAGGGTGTCCTGCCCTCCCCCGGGATGCCAGGCAGCTAAGGGCGCCCCAACATCCCGCTGCAGGGTGCGTCGAGATGGGAAGTCTTGTACATAAGCCGCCGGGCGGGCTTTGGATGGATGGAATGGCCGGTTGGACAGGCCAAATTGCTTCGTCCGCCATCGAGGCACGGTACGCTGGAAGATGGAAGGGAACTAGTGAGGGTCGAGCTAGGGAGAGATGGCTTCCCCCGGCTCGGTGGGGCGGCGATTCACCGCTCTCCATCGCCCTCTCCGCATATGACGTCGAGCAACCCCGTCGAAAGGCGATGCTGGAAAGCTCTAAATCGCAGGCGGCAGGAACGAAATTGGCGGCCGGATCTCGTCCGTCCCTTGCCCGCTTGCTTGCTTGCTTGCTTAGCTTGTCCCTCGACCCTGCATCGAAGCCTGCCGGCCTGCCCAGCCTAAACCCCCGAGATCGAACGCGGCGGCAGCAAGAGGAGGGACGCCCGGCCTTGCCCGCGCGCTTGGCGCTGCTTGGCCAGTCTTTGCTGCTCGGTTGGCAGGTCCCGAGCCAAGTCGCCGTTCGTGTGTGAGTGCACTAGTCTTGAGTGTGTATCAGAGCAAGCTTCTGGCAAGCGATGGAGGGTGCGACCAGTGGGAGGCCGGCCGAAGTCGGGCCGGAGGATCTTTGGCCTCCAGCCTGTGCTCGCCGCCCTACGGCACCTGGATCTGGTCGAGGCGAGACGGGCAGTTCTGTCACTGCCTCCGCCTCTGCCTCTGCATCTGCCGCCCACGTCTTGGGCATCTCTCACCTTTCATCGTCGGTGGCCCGCCGCCGCAACGGACCGTCGCTGAGCCTGGTGGCCCACGGTGTCAGATCCAAGTCGGACGGCGCCAGGGCGGGCGCGAATCGGACACAGCCGTCGAAGGAACACAGCAACGGTAGCCGCAATGGCCCTCGGATGACGGCAATGGTGGCAGCGGGGCGCCGGGTATGATGACTGTAAACGGCAGCGGGCCGTCTCGGATCGCAAGAAAGGTAGTGTCTATGAAGCAGGGGCGTGGTCTAGAGACGATCTTGAAGAGAGCATCGAGGCGCGTTGCCGGGGCTCATCGCGCTGCACCCGACGGCTTGAGCAGCACCGAGGCCGGCACGGGCGCCTGGACGAGCTTGTGGATGTTGGCCGAGAGCGCGACCACGAGGACGAAGCAGCCCCATGCGGCCAGCGTCTGGGCGCCCCTTCGCATCCGGCTGTTGGGCTCGTCGGCAAACAGCGACGAGTAGAGGATGCCGGGCAGGATGAAGCTGATGGTCGTCGAGCCCACCGAGCCGACAAAGCCGAGGATGATGGAGAGGTCGTCGACCAGCAGGCTGATGACAAACGTCGTGCTGAGGATGCCGGCCGTCATGGCGCACCTTTGGCAAGGAGGGGAAGCGGCGCAGCCGGTTCCGAAGTCGAGGCGGGCGAGCAAATGCGCATCGGTCAGCTGCTGGGTACGCTGGCCATCTCATCCTTCGGCATGGATCCGCTCCGCACTCACCACTTCCACAGCGGCGTCTCCTCCTCGTAGACCGACATCCTCGAGATGGCGGAAAAGTTGCGGTGGTTGGGGCCCACGGTATGCCGCGGCTGAAGCCTCGGGTTCGTTCCGGCCTCGTCGTCGACATCGTCGCGGTAGGGCTCGGCCGGCACCGACGGCTGGGCGAGCAGCGAGGCGCTGGCGGCGTCCGACAGGACCTGCCTGCGCGACGAGCGCGAGAGCACCTTGTCCAGCGACGCTCGGCAAGGATGGATCTGGTGTGCGCGTGAAGCGCGCAGACGAGGCGAGGACGGGCGTCAGCGGTCGAGATCGGATGCTGCCGGCACGGCACGACGGCCTCCGCGCTCACCTGCAGCGGGTAGCTGAAGACGGTCAGCACGACGATCGAGACGCGGCCAAAGCAGACAAAGAGGCTGGTGCTCGGGTACATGGTGATGATGTTGTCGCCGACGTTGGAGCCAAAGGCGAGGTACCCCAGCACGCCGACGATCTGGTAGACGAAGCCGCCGGTGCCAATCGAGGCGGCGATGGCGGTGTTGACGCGCGCCTCGCTGTTCTCAAACAGCTCGTTGTAGACCGAGAGCATGTTCTGGGCGCAGGTGAATGCAAAGACAAAGACGGGGAAGATGCTGATGGTGTGGTACGAGACGGTGATCAGGTGGACCTCGCCCGCAGGCGGCAGCGTGGCGCGGGCGTCGGACGAGAGGCTGTAGTGGATGACGATGATGACCAGGTAGAAGACGGCGAGCAGGCTGAGGTAGCTGGTGTGCCGGAGCGAGTCGAGGCGGCGCAGGAAGCACAGCGGGACTGCGGCGGGCGGGTTGGAGAAGGGAGACGGGACAGGACAAAGAGAAAGCGCGGGAACGAGTCGGCTGTCAGCGCACAGCGGCAGATGCAAGGAAAGGCAGACCAGGCCGCCCACTCACTGAGCATGACCATTAGCACAAAGATCCAAAAGGAGCGGTCGAGGAGGAGGGTGGGGATCTGGTGGACGTCGCGGTGGAACGCCTTGAAGAAGCTGATGATGATCTGGGGCATCAGCTGGCCGCAGATGATGAGGTAGGAGATCGAGACGCCGTAGCATTTGAGGGCGATGGCCAGGTCAAACCACCACGCGCCTCCGGGCAGCGTCTGGCTGGCGATGCTGAAGAAGCTGTTGCGACGGCCGCCCACCTTGGCGGCGCACCGCGTCAGGAGGTAGAGGCCGAATGCAGCGGTAAAGCCGCAAAAGCATATCAGCCCCATGCCGAGGAGGAGGCCGGTGTAGCGGAACGCCCCGGGCGTCGCCAGCATGCCGGTGCCGATGATGGTGTTGGTGAGGTTGCTGATGCAGGATACGAGGCTCGCCTTGCCCTGCTCCTGGGGCGGTCCCGGGTCCAGGGCGTCGTCGCCCTCGTCGCAGCCGCCGTCGCCCCCGCGGTAGCGCTCGGCTGCGGGCGAGCTGGGCATTCGACGGCCCGAAGAGAGGCCACCGTTGGTGGCATACGATGCCGCGACCATGCCAAGCCGAGGTCAAGGTGAGTGGCAGAGAGGGCGTAGCCTGCAGAGCGTCGGTCGCCAACGTCTGCGTCGTTCGATGCACGAGTGACCGTCGCGATCAGATGCGATGAAGATGAGGCGGGGTCGGCAGAGAGAACCAAGGCGCGGGTCAGAGAGAGATGCCAAGGATGGCTGCGGGTCAAGATGGGGATAGAATGAGCGACAGAGCGAGGCTGAACCGCGCTGCGATCGGAACCTGTCCGGGCGGTAGTTGCGAGGTCGGCGTAGCCAAGCGGGGATCGTGTGTGGACGGCACGGGCCGAGACAGGTGCGTGCGTGCGTGCGTGCGTGAGCGTGTCTGCTGGACCGGCAGGCGCAGAGATGGCGAGGCGGGCGGACGAAATGAGATGAGACTCGGCTGATGGCCCTCGAGATCACAAGCTGGGCATCAGAAGAGCGTGGACGGTGTATGCAGAGGAGCCAGCGGGGCGGCGGAGGGCGGTGTCGACGGACGGAAGCGATGGTGGTGGTGTTGGTGGTGGTGGTCGAGGGGTCGCCCGAGTGACAGCGAGCCCCGTGCCTGGGCCCCCTGCGGCCTGGCCTGCTGGCCCGCCCCGTTTTTGACGCCGAAATTCGGGCTGGATTTCGCCTGGCCCCGCCCCGCGCTGTCGGTACGTGCGCCGGCCGCTCTGTGGCCAGGCCAAGCCTGCCTGGCGGGCGAGCGAAGATGGCCGAGCGGCCGCCGGTCATGTCGGCTGGACCCTGATCAGCCGGTCCCTGCCTGCCTGTCTCTCTCACCTTCGCTTCGCACTGCTTCTCGTCGCCTGAGATGGAGCGCCGAGGGCTCCCCTACGATGTCGAGGTCGTGCCTTGCTTGTCTACAACGCCGCAAACAGCCAGCAGGCGGGACGATGGCAAGGCCGACGGCGGCGACGACCACAACGACAGATAGAGTGCGCGAAGCAGGCTGCGCCCCACGGTGCCGAACGGCGTGACCGCAGCACGCGATGACTGACGTCTGCATGGAGCAGGAGCCCATGCGGCGAGGCAGCGGGTCGGGGCGCAGCGCGGCCTCCCTCCTTCCTGGCCACCATCATCCACCTCGACAAAAGGCACCACCACCTACAGTACCTCTCATTGCATCCGCGATCCAGCCCCCTCGGCCTTCTTCCATATATACGCCCGTACGTCTGGGTTGCCGGCTACGCCTCGACAGCCCCGCTCTCGGCGCACCCAGCTGCGGCCGTCCCGACGTGGCCCTGGCGCCTACACGCCAAGCGACTCCCCGACCGTCGGAACCGTCGGCAGTGAGCCGAGCCGCCCTTCTAGCGACAAGCAAGCAGCCAAGACGAGACAGTGCAAGGCAAGGCAGAGCAAAGCAACCATCAGCACTGCATAGCCTGGAGCGACGCAGCCTATCTATTACTACGTACTCCAGCCGCCGCGGCCTGCCTGCAGATCCTCGACGATCGAGCGCTCATCCACCAGAAGACTAGGCTGTGCAGCCAGTCACGCCGGGTCCTCTGCAGCGCGTCCTCGCCGCCGTCCGTCGACAGGCAGCTCCATCCTACAGTATCTTCGGTCCAGGCCAAGACACGCCGAGTCCAGGCTCTGACCCGCACCAAGGCCACCTCCCGTTCCCAGGCATTGTCCGACCGACAGCTTGGGTCCGCTCTGGCCGACCGGCAGAGAAAGAGCGCCGCTAGCGCAACCTGCTTCCCGACGCTTCCGCTCCCGCTCCCAACAAGCCTGCAAGCATGTCGGCGGTCTTGGAAGCGCCATCGGCCCGTGGCGATGGCCCCTGCGTGGTGGCCGACGCTTCAGTGGTGCCCAGGGTGGGCGTAGGCGTCCTGGTGCTCAATGAGCGCGGCCGCATCCTGCTCGGCAAGAGGACCGGCAGCCACGGTGCCGGTACCTTGGCGCTTCCCGGCGGCCACCTCGAGCTGCACGAGTCGTTCGAAGATTGCGCCATCCGCGAGGTCCTCGAAGAGACCGGCATCCACCTCGAGACCGACGGCGACGGCAGCGAAGCGGACCACGGCCAGCGTTCCAGCGCCGACGAACACGAGCCGGCGGACCTGTGCGAGGCGCTCTCGATGCTGGCCACCGAGGCATCGGCCGCGGCGCTCGCTTCCTCCTCGGCGACAGGCCGCTCCACCAACAAGGCCAAGACTCGAGGCGTCCAGTTTGTCACGGCCGTCAACTCGGTGCGCATGAAGGACGCCGGCGAGGAGGCCCACGCTGGCCTCGGGCGGCACTACGTCACCATCTTCATGAAGGCAAAAGGCCGCGTCGAGCCCGGCCGCTCCCAGGTCGAGGCCACCGTCACCGAGCCCGAAAAGTGCCTCGGCTGGACCTGGGTGCCGTGGTCCTACCTCAAGAACGCCGCCGAGCAGCAGCACGCGATGCAGCAGCTCCACTCCCACGCCCTGCGCCAGGGGCAGCAGCTGCCCGTGTCGCTCGAGAAGCTGCTCGCCGCCGAGAGGCTGGCCCAGTCGATACGCAGCTCCGACGACGTCCACGACTACGCTGGCAGGTCGGCCGGGGACGCAGCAGAGGGTCGCGCACTGCGCCGGGACGGCACCCTGGCCGGCGTCGGCGCTGCCACCGCCGCGTCGTCGTCCTCGTTTGGCCCCAGCCACGGGCCCCTCGACGCTCACGAAGCCGTCGAATGGGCCGAGGCAGACGACTTTGCCCAGGGCGCGCCGCTCTTTGCGCCGCTGGTCAACTTCATCCTCGCCAACCCGTCGATGGGATCCCAGCTCTGAGGGCGCAACATGGATACGCACGCGCGACGACCGCGCGGCTGGAAGGGTGCCCGATCGGTCGTGGGCGACGGGACCCAGCCCGGTGGATCCCCGCACGGCCGACAAACATTCTTGGATAGCACCACGCAGGCATATAGACGCAGAGCCAATCAGAAGGTCACTTATCCGTCCGACTCCTCGCCGCGCTGGACCGGCTGCAGGCCTCGGAGCCGTCTCCGCGACCGGGAGGCCGAGTACAGAAGCGCCGGGGGGCGGTGGCTGCCGTGGCTACGGTACGAGGGACCACGGCTGCGCGACTGCTCGAGCCTGACCGAAGCGCTCGGCACGACCCAGCGGTAAAGAGTACGGGCCAGAGTCGCTCGAGCAGCTTCAAGGGCTACGCGAAGCCAGAGCCGGTCTAGCGAAAAGAGCCGGGGCGTGTCTGCACGACCGGCGACAGAGCGCGTGCCGACCGGTGTGCGAGGCCAGTGGCGAGGACGGGTGGGCAGCACTACTAGCCTCGGTGCGGCTCTCAAATCGTCATCGTCATCGTCATCGTCATCGTCATCGTCATCCCGACTCAGCTCGACTCGGGCCGTCGGCAGGTGGGTGGTCTTGCACCGCGATGATCACGGCACCACACGCAGTGCTGGGGACCGGAGCCGCGATGAACGGCAAAGTGCACCTCGATAGAGGCGTAACTGGAGCCGTGACGACCTCGCGGGCTTCCATAAGGGGACGACGGAGGCTCACGTCTCAGGCGAGCGACGGTGACAACATCGTCGCTGCCACGTGAACCTCGCCCGCGACTTCTCCCGAGCTGAACTCGCATCCTGAGGGTGCGGGCAACGTTTTGGCCAAGCGATGGTGAAGCGGGTGACACCGAGGCAGGTCGGTTGCTCGTCCAGTCGGCAGCGACGATCAATGAGGCGAGTGTCTAGGCATGCCCTAGCGCTCGACAAGTGATGAGCGGAGCCGGCTATCGCATTCGCGGTGTTCGAAACGCTTCTCTATTGACGACGACAGACCAAGGTGGGCTGATGACGCCCAAAATCGTCGTTGCCCGGTCCCCCTCCGCCTCGTTTCGCAAACCGAGCTAGCTGCCTCTAGTTCCACGCCCTCGGCCTCGGGTGAGGATGGGATCCTCGACCTACGACGCTCAGAGCGCCCTCTGCACCATCGACAAGCGGCAGGATCACGGCGTCATGGCCAGACGACGTCCTGTCCACTGCACCGAAGCCAGGCGGAAAGTGCAAGCGACTGCGGATGGAATGATCGGGGCGCAGAGTGGATGGATCGGTCGGGGGCGACTGACCTTTCAGCGCGGCTTCCGACAGGCGTGGCCCATCAACGGCGCCTTCCATCCGCCCGTACCGCCCCGGTGCACGGACGGAGGGGTACACGGTACATAGCCGGCCGTCGGTCCTTCGGTCCCGTGCGTCATGTCTCTCAAGCAGTTTGCACGGACGGTTTGCTCCGGCCGAGGGCTCTTTCAGGTCAGTTGGAAAGCGCAACGGACGGGTACGGCCGAAGCAACGACGGCGGCGTCGGCTGCTGCTGCTGCTGCTGCTGCTGCTGCACACGGCCGATGCCCTGCCGGTCTCGCAGGGAGTGAACATGGTCGTCGGTTGGTGACGAATTCGCCTGCAGCGCTGCGCGGATCCATGGTCAGCGCTTCATTTGCATCACCACGGTGACGGGATATCACCGGATGGGCAGAGCCGCGGGCGGTAGTGCAGACCCACTGCTGCTGCTCGTCCCTTGGAAGAACGTGTCCTGCGATGCGAGCGCTCCAAGCCAGCCTACCTCTACCCTGCTGGTATGGATGCACGGCCTCGGCTCGTCCCGTCGGCGCCACTTCGCCCAGCTCGTCGCTGGAAGAACATACACAACAATTGAACGAGTGACCTGCCGGGTGATCTCCTGCTGAGGCGCCAGACTGCATCCTCGAGCGGTCCAAGGGAGTTCGACGAGTGCCTCGAGCTCGGACAAGGCCATTGGCGGGAAAGAGCTGAAGAGAGAGCGACTGACGAGGTCACTGATCGATTCTCGGCCATCCGTTTTTATTTTCTGTCTAACTCGCTGGCTGGCGTCGTGTGGCGATTCAGCACCCTGCCTCGCGTTGAGGGCTGCACCCTAGCCTGCACCCCACGCCCAGCCCGAAAACCGGCCCGACCGTACCCAGGTTCGCAGCGCTGCGGGCGGGGGGGGACCGAGCGCGAGCCGCTCGATATGTACATACACATGCTGCCGCCACAATAATGAGGGTCGATGCAATGGCATGCTGCGATCGAGCGTTGATGCTGCCAGCCCAGCATCGCGGGCAGGCAGGTAGGCGAGCATGTACACACAACAGAGCAGCAGTAGTGCGCGTGCGCCCGCGTAGCCTGTCCGTCGGTCGCCTGGTGGCCGCCTGCCTGCTTGCCTGCCTGCCTGCCTGCCTGGCCGGCGCTTTGCATGCGCTGCCGACGACAAAATTTTATTCCTGGCCGGCTGCGCGACACCCATGTGTCAGGAACCTCGTCAATCTCGACAGGTCCGATTGCACTCCCGCCGCCAAGCTGCTTTCCCGCCCCCCACCTTGGGTGACCCCCCTAGCTTGCTCTTTGCCCGCCACTGCCACAGCAGCAGCGCCTCTGCGGAGTCGGTCATCGAACGGTATGATGCGGGGATGGCCGTGTTGCCGTGTCTTGGTCGTCGCTTACGCCGCTGGACGGTCAGACGGGTGGCGACGACGACGACGACGGCGACGGCGATGCCGATCCGGCCGGGCGCGTGGGAAGGGCCGGCTCGACGGCGGATTGATCAGATCGGTGACAGGTGGACCGGGGCGGGTAGCAAGTCCCGACGAAGCGAGAACGGCCATCGAGCCCGCATCGCAGCGCAGGACATCGGCGCACCGCACCGCACCGCACCGCACCGCATCGCACCGCAAACTCGTTGGCGCCACTCGCACCGCACACCGCAACGGACTCAACAAGCAAGCAAGGCCGCCGAGCCGCACAGCACGGCAGCTTGGCGAAACCAGGGCAGAGGCACGCAGACAGCTTCTGGCAGGGAAGCGCGCACGCCATCGTCAAGGTTGGCAGGGTGCACACCTCCGTCCTCCGCTACCCGTTCGCAGCTTGGCGGATGGCACGTCTGCTCTTGAGCCGCAACAATACGACAAGTTAAGATGAGCCAACGCGCGGAGACGGCCGCGTACATGCCGTAAGTGCTCGATCTAGTCGGTGGCGGGCAGACGCATACGCGCATATCTGCCGCCGCTGCTCCGCTCTACCCTACGGAGAGAGGCTAGCCTCGGGACACCACTGCAAGTAACAAGAAGGCCGGCAAGCAAGCAGGCCCGCCGCTGGCCCGCCTGTTCGCTGGACGGACGCACGCTCCGCGGCCCTCTTGCCGTCTCATCGCTTCGGGATGGCGCGCTCGCGAGGCTCGTCCCAGCCGTTCTGCCACGTACTGTCCCAGGCAGGGCAGCTCGCCGCTGTCTCTGCAGCGGAAAGGATCGGGAGCATACATTCTTGCCAGGTCGGAGAGGGGGCCCGTCGTACCGCCTTCGGCACCGGCTCGGCCTCTCGTTGGCGATGCCAATACCCAGGTGACTAACGAAGGGGGAGCAGCCGGGATGGCTTCCAGCATGGGTGCCAGTCGGGTCATGCCTCGTCGAGCTCGAGTCTGCCAGCGCGAGTAGATGCACACGCACGCACGCACGCACGCACATGCGCGTCCATACCGCAGCCTCGGCCCAGACAATCAATAAGAGCCCCGCCGTCCTCGGTCATGGCTCCATCTCGCCGTCACCTTTATCCCTCGTTGGACATTGTCGAAGGCATCAGACAAGAGGCCAGCTAGGCTGTCGGAGAGGACGACAATGGTACGTAGCTCCGACTGGATCACGACCGATACAGAGTGGCGCGCCAAGCTAAGGGGCAAGGGCGGCTTCCCGGGGACGCGGTGTCGCCCTGACTTGCGCTAGTCGCCGCACTGCCAGCATACAGGTGGCGAGCCGGGGATGGGCGGGGAGCGGCTGCCGCTCGAGCCACGCCGAAAGCGCCCTGGTGCTCGTGGGCCCCGTCGAAGGGGCCAGGCAGGCGAGGGCGCTGGTTGCGCTGTATGCCGCTGCGCTGACCCGTGGCTTTGGGTTGCAGTGCAAACGTGAGCGAGCGAGCGGGTGATGATGATGATGATGATGAGGGCCGGTTGGGTAGGTTCGGGGTCGAGGTGCAGCCTGGGCGGTGGGCGAGCAGACAGATAGGGACCAGGGGGAGGAGGAGGAGAAGGGGGGAACCAGGTGGTGGCTGGCGCTGGCGGCGGCTGTGTCGCAAGCAACGGGGCAGCCCAGCAGGCTGACGCTCTGGCAGCAGCAGCGCGTAGGGGTGACGTTGGCTTGCCCTTTGTCCCCCTCTCCGGACACTACTCTGGCTGCCCATCTGGCTCTCTCTCTCTCTCTCTTGCCTCTCCCTGACCCGCTCCCTCGCCCCCACGCTGCCCTTTCTCCAAGCACCGACCGCCTGTGGCCCTGGCCCATTGCTTCTGGGACCATCTCCTGGTCGGTCGGTCCCACACCTACATAAGGGGTCACACCGTAGCTCAGGAGGCCAGAGTCAGGGACCCACCATCCTCAACCACATCCCATCCCCATCCCCATCCCCATCCGACCGAGCCAACCTTCTTCGACCTCGCCTTTGTCGGGCCATCAGGTTGTTGCTTCTGCCAAGCCGTCCCTCTTGCCCCTGCGCATCCCTTTACGCCCCGCCCGACCGCCCGCCCGTCCGGCCGACCGAGCGACCCGCCGCCTTGGCCACCGCGCACCCTTCATCAACCTCGTCCTGCCTTGCTGGCCATCGCGCGAGCCTAGCCTCTTGCCTGCCGCCCCACCCACCCACTCACGCCGGCGCCCCCAGGTCGTCGTCCTGACCCAGACCCAGGCCCAACCGACTTGACTAGCTACGTGACAGCCGCGCTCGACTGCCTCGCCGCGCCGCGCCTCGCCCCGGCCCGTCTGCCTTGACTACTCACGCCTTCATCTCCTTCCAGCACTTGGAAGCCAGGCTAGGCCAGGCCCCACTGCCCTAGCTCGCCCATCACCGACTACGGCCCGCTCATCCCTGCACCGCTCCAGAGTGGCCCACCCCACCGCCTCATCACCCCCTATCGAAAGCAAGCAGGGCTGCCACCCACGCCCCGAGCCAGCTGCCGCCACCATCACCTTGCTTGCACCCACCGCGACCACCTTGGCGGCCACGATCAGCACTTCTATCACCACCAACACCACCATCACCACCACCACCACCGTCGCCTCCTTCTCCTCCCTTCACCGTCTCCTCTTCATCCTCCTCGTCCCACCCGACACGCCGAGACAATGGACATCCTCGGTGAGTGCGCACGACCCCACCGCATCCCTCGCTCCGCCCTCAGCCGTCAGCCTCCCTCGCTACGGGGGCCCGATGCAGTGGAACGCTCGCCCCCCCTCATCATCCCCTCATCGTCCCTCGGACGGGTCCTCGGACTGACGCACGCCGACCTGTCCGCCTCTGCTCCCTGCCCCGCCCCTCTGCGTTCGGACCCACCCTCTCCTGCACCTCTTCTCGCGACACCACCCTCCATACTGCCGCCCCTTTGACTCGATGCAGAGCTGGTGCACGACGACCACCGCTCCGAGAGCCGCCCCTTTGTGTGCGACTACCACGGCTGCTCCAAGGCCTTCAGCAGGTGAGCCTTGTTTCTCGTTTGCGCATCATTTATGCCGAGTCGCCCGTGCGGCCTGCCGCCTGCCGCCTGCCGCCTGCCGCCTGCCGCCTGCCGCCTGCCGTGCTGCAGCGGGTCACACGCGCAACGAGAACAACAAACAGATCAGCAGCTCGTGCAGCCGTCACAAAGGGCCGCTTCGACCTAGTCGAGCTGCACCATGTCGCAAAACCCGGCGGGCTGGCATCGCAGATCTGCGAGCTGGCCGCCCCCTCGTGGGACAAGGGTCGAGTCGAACCGTGAAAGCATGTGGCTGACGACGACCTCCTACCATCCCCCACCGCCGCTTGGCCCTGCCGCCATCTCTTGACCTCCGCGCGTGCACAGGCGATCGGACCTGGCGAGGTGAGTTGATCGCGGCGATCCGTGATTCCGCAGCGGTCGAGGCGCAAAGCAAGACCATGGCCGTGGTCGTGGGCCGGACCGAGGGAGATGGCAGTGCCGACAGAGCTCGAAGACGTCCAGGCCGGCCTGGAAGATGGCAACTGCATTGGATTCGATTGGCTCCGGGCAGCAGGCCCATTGTTCCCCCTTGGGCCTCCGTTGCGGTCCAAAGGCAGCGGCCACGTTTCGGTTTAGGATCAGCGATTGGCGACGAAAGACTGACCACCGTCCCTCCGACCTTTGCTGCCACGACGCCTTCATGTCTTGTTCCGTGCGCTGCTCCTGATGCTGCTGGCGATTACACCACCACCACCACCACCAGACACGCTCGCATCCACAGCCAGGAGCGGCCGTTCGCGTGCCGGTTCGAGGGATGCTACAAGACCTTTATCCAGCGCTCTGCGCTCACGGTCCACACCCGGATCCACACGGGCGAGAGGCCGCACGTCTGCGACACGTGTAGCAAGACCTTGTGAGTCGGCGGTGCCGCCTCTGCATCTGCCCGCCGTTGCGTATGGACGACACGCTGACCTGACTAGACCGCCTTTCCCTCGACCTCCCCTTGTTGAACGTCCCGCTCGCACCGATGTCCAGCTCCGACTCGAGCTCCCTCGCGCGCCACCGCCGCATCCACAGCGGGAGGAGGCCATACAAGTGCCCCGTCGAGGTGAGCATCGACGGCCGCGACCATCTTCTCCTGCCCATGTCGCCGTGGATCGCACGTCTTGCAACCCCGTATCCTGACCCGGCCTGTCCCCCCGCGCCCGCTTCTTGATCCTTGCCGTCTTCGACGCGGCCCGTTGACAGGACTGCGGCAAATCCTTTTGCCGCAAGACGACCCTCACCAAGCACACCCGGCGCATCCACGGCTCGACGATTGGCAACATCTTCAACGGCAACGTGGGCTTCGTGTCCCTGAGCGGGGCCAGCGGTGGCGGACATGCCGTCGACCAACCCCAGAACCACTTTGGCCACTTTCCTCACCACCACCCGCAGCTACAACACCAGCAACAGCACCAGCACCAGCACGCGCACCAGCACCAGCACCAGCACGCGCACCTCGTCCAGCAGCAGCAGCAGCAGCAGCAGCAGCACCACCACCACCACCACTTCGCCCCGCTCCACGTGGCGGACATGTCTCAGTTCCGTCGGGCGTCATACCCGAGCGAGAACCACCTGCTTCCCGCAGGCTACCTCAAGCAAGAGCCGCCCTCGCCGTCCGACGGTGCGTTCGATGGCATCTCGCACGACGCGCACCTGCTGAGGGCCTCGATGGCTCTGCGCGGCTCCCACCTCGCCTCGTCCAATGCCCCGCTCCTCGGAGGCGCGTCGGGCTCGACCTCCTCGGCCTCTTCCTCGTCCTCGTCGGTCGCGGCGTCGTTGGACGGCGCGCCGTTGGTGCAGCACTCGGCGTTCGGGCTGGCCGCTGCCGATGGCAGCACGAGCAGCCTGAAGCTCGACGGTTCGGCCGAATACCACTACAGCCAGCAGCACCAGCAGCAGCACCAGCAACACCACCAGCCCTCGCAGCTCCACCAGCGACTGCCCTCGGGCTTCGGCCACTCGTCGGTGGCCATGTCCTACAGCCTCACCGACAGCCGGCTGCCCCACGAGGCGCCGTGGGACCACAGGGTTGCGGCGTCGCAGCCGGCGTCGTCGGCGCACACGCCGCTCTCGATGGGCCCGGCCTTCGACTCGAGCAGCTTCGAGGGCATCCATCCTCAGCTGATGCAGGATCCCATGCTGGCCGGCCAGGCGAACGGCCTCGATTCGGCGGTACCGCGCATGGCCGGCGCGCCGGGCTGCGAAGATGCCAGCGGTCTGCCGACGCCGCCCTCGACGAGTGGCGGCGGCGACGGCGCCAGCAGCGGCTTCGGCATGGCGCAGGAGATGCTGCCCTACGTCCACCACCGCGACGCGGTCGATCCGGACCAGCCCTTCCGGACCAGCTTTGGCGGCCACGGACTAGTCAGCAATGGCTCATGGGGCGGCCACAGCCCCATCCCCGGTGCCATGTCGCTCAACGGCTCGCTCCGCTGCGTGCCCGCCGAGCGTTAGCCGCTCTTGATCGCCTTGGCGCCACCGTCCACCGGCTGCCGTCGAGCGGACCTCTCGTTGGCCAAGCCACCCCAAAAGCATCGCCCTCTACCGGCTTCTGCTCGTCGTCTTATGGAACAGCCTCCCGCCACTCGTCCGCTACCTTCGCTACCCCACAAACCCGTCACCATCAATTCCGGAAACCCCACCTCGTCTCGCCTGGCCTTGTCTCGTCCCAGCAAGCCTCGTTCAGCTCCGCTCCGCCTCATTCCATTCCATTCCATCCCGTTCCGTCCCGTCCCGTACCATTCCATCAACGTTCCCGTCAACTTCAGTCTCGATCCGCTTCTCGCACATACTCGGCATACTCATCGGCTTTAGCTAATCGACATACCACCACCATCGATCCCCACCCCCGCACCTTGGCTACTTTCTCGGTCTCAGCAACACTCCATCGACAAGGCACAGGCACATACATACACGATTGTAGGCCCCCACGCTTCCCGAGCGACCCTTGCCTATAAGCATTGTGCGTCGTCCCGGGACGACGCCGTCGCATGCCTACCCATTCCTCGCTACAATAGACGCTTCCCGCCTCCTTTCATCCCTCACCTCGCCCTTGCTCTCGTCCTTTTGGCTCTGCATTGCGGCTCGCATCGTCGGCCGGCTTAGCCGTGTATCTCTCTCTCTCTCTCTCTCTTCAAAAGCGCGGGCGCTGCCTGTACCTCGGCTTCACCGCATGGCGTCTCGTCAGCTCGTTAGGAACTGGAGAAACTCTGAGGAGCGCAGAATGGACGTCGAGGCTGTGTGAAGGCTGTCGGGTCGATTGCTTGGTGCATGTTGGCCTGACCGAGTGTGTGCCACGGACGGAAGCTCGCTGGGTGGCGGCTGTCGAGGAGGCTGGCCACGGGGGGAAAGCCTCGGGAGTCGGGGCTGCGGCTTGCCTGGCTACGGAAAAGCGCGGGCAGCGGCTGCCCTGCCTGCTGGCAGCCTGCCTTAGCTTGCTCCTTGACAGCTGCCCCTTTTGCCTCTCCCCTCTCTCCTCTCAACCGCCCTCCTCCTCCTCCTCGTCCCTCTCCTTCTCACATCTCACTCTCTTTCTCCACGCCTCGTCGCTCTGCCGGTCTGTCCGACGGATCGATTACGGGTCCCGCCAACATGCTGGCATCAACGCCGTCCGCTTCTGCTTCGCAGCCCCGGCCTTCCTTGCTCTCCGGGATCTCTTCGTCCTCGTCTTCTTCCTCTGCCACCTCGTCTGCAGCAGCAGCAGGCGCAGCAGGCGCACCACCAGCAGCAGGCGCAGCGGCGACAGGCGGCAGATCCAACATGACGGGCGGCGGTGAGGCGTTCAACATCGTCGAGAGCTACCACCGCTTCCTCGCCAACGACCCGGACCTCCCCTTCCCCATCGCCGCCATCTTTGCCCTCTCGGAGCTCGTCAGCCGCTCCCGCGCCGCCACCACCTCGGAGCTCATCGAGACCATCAAGTCGGCCAGCCAGCGCCTCAAGGCCAGCCTCGCCAACCCCGTCCCTGCCACCGCCGGCCTCGACCTCTTCACCCGCTTCGTCGTCACAAAGAGCTGGGATGGCGATGTGAGTGGGGGGCCCGCTCTCGCTGTGTCCGGCGCTGGGGCGTTCCCGATGCCAAACGACGGACTCATGTCGCTGACACTTCCCCTTTGCCCCGTCGATCACCGTCTGGCGCGACCCCCCGTGCGCACACAGGACTTTGAGGCGCACAAGCAGTCGCTCTCTTCGCTGGCGCGCGAGTTTGCCACGCACACGGTGCCGTCGTGCCGCGAAAAGATCTGCGACCTTGTGCTGCCGTTTATCCGCGACGACGCCGTCATCCTGACGCACAGCTACTCGCGCGTCGTGATGCAGGTGCTGCGCAAGGCGGCGCGGGTGCAGCGCAAGCGCATCAGCGTCTACGTGACCGAGTCGCGGCCCAACGGCCTCGGGCTGCGCACCCACGAGCAGCTCACCGCCGCCGGCGTGCCGTGCACCGTCATCCTCGACTCGGCCGTGGCCTACGTCATGGACAAGGTCGACCTCTGCCTCACGGGCGCAGAGGGCGTCGTCGAGAGCGGCGGCTTCCTCAACGCCATCGGCACCTACGGCATGGCCATGATCGCAAAGAGCCACAACAAGCCCTTTTTCGCGCTGGCAGAGAGGTGAGCAGGTTCGAGTCAGGCTGCCAGTGCGAGGGCGAGGGGCGCACGCCGCCACGGGCTCGAGCGAGCGGCGATGTCTGACCCAGCCTCGCGTCTTACTCCTTACTCCCACCGTCCGCCCGCCCCCGCCCCGCCGCTGGACAGCTTCAAGTTCTTGCGCCTCTTTCCGCTGTCGCAGTATGACCTGCCGGCGTCGGGCAACATCCTCGCGTTCCCCGAGCTCAGCGACGACCAGCAGGCCAAGGCGGCCGAGCGGTGCCTGCCCGTGCGCGCGACCAAGGAGGACGACGACGACGAGACGGCGCAACGGTCCAAGCTGATGAGCAAGGAAATGGTCCAGCTCAACCCCGCCGTGAGTGTCTCGCACGCCTGCGCCGTCCGTCGCAGCAGGGACGCACGAGGACGACAGTCGCTCACCTCTCGGTCGTCGGATCGGTGCCCGCCCGGTCTGCCCTTCTCTCCCCCCGTCTCTGCACGCAGATCGACTACACGTTACCGGATCTCGTCACGTTCCTCTTTAGCGACGTCGGCGTCCTCACCCCGAGCGGCGTCGGCGATGCCCTGCTGGCCGTCTACGGCGGTGCCGACTAGCGTGCGTTGCGCACACACGCCACACGGACACACGGCGGCGCTGGGCCCGTCTGGGCCGGCCGGCCGATGCGGAAGCGAAAGAACAGTGATGATATCTTGCCTTCTGCCGAGCTGGGCCATGATGGATGGCTACGATGATGTGACGACGACAGAACGGGCCGGACAGCGTGGCGCCGAAAGCGGGGCTGGGCGACGGTTTCATCACCGCCTCTTCCTCTCGCCCAGATCCCTCGCGAAGCTGCTCTTGCCCTTCCTACCTTTAGCCGCCGCACCTCCTCCTCCCGCGGACGCCGCGACCTTCTTCTGCGTTGAGCTCTTTGCCTTTCCACCACCGCCGCCACCGCCGCCGCCCTTTTTGGACCTGGCCGCCTTGTTGGCCGCATGGATACCGGGCTCGGCCACGCCGAGCGCCTTGGGTCGGTTGGCCTTTTTGGCGGCGCGGATCGACGCGTCGATGCCGCCCAGGTTGACGGCCGAGGGGCGGTTGCCCGCCGCCTTTTCCTCCTTGGCCTCGCGCTCGAGCTCGTCGCGCATCATGCGCGATCGCTTGCGCTTGCGCGACAGGCCGGCGTACTTGTCCCGCCCTTTTGCGCTCGACTTGGACTCGTACTCGGCCTTGGACACGTCTGCGATCGCGGGGCGGGGCGGGGCGGAGTAGACGAGAGCGGGCAGAGCGGCAAACAGGGAGAGAGGGTGAGTCGAGGGTGCTCGAGAGGAGGGGCGGCGAGGTGCAGGGTGTGGGCCCTCTGCGCGCGCCTGCGTGGCCAACTCACCTTTGGCGGCCTCCTTTTCCGTTTCGGTCTGGAACCAGGTGCGCTTGGGCCTGCTCATGATCTCGTCGCGGTGCTTGACAATGTTTTCGCCCTTCTTGATCTCCATCTCGGCCTGGCGCATGGCCTTTTCCTCGACCTCTTCGCGCATCACCTCGTCGACCTCGGGCTTGAGCTTGTCGAGCGTCTCGACCATGGCCTGCACCACCTCGGCCGGGATGAGGCGGTGCTTGACCTGGTCCTCGGGCGACTTTTTGAGCGCCAGCTTGAGCATCTTGCGGTCCGCCTCGCCGACGAGCGTCACGGCGCGGCCGTTGCGCCCGGCGCGCGCCGTCCGCCCGACGCGGTGCAGGTACTGCTCAAACTGGCCGGGCATGTCGTAGTTGATGACGGTCTGGACGCCGCGGATGTCGAGGCCGCGCGACGCCAGGTCGGTGGCGATCAGAAAGTCGGCCCGCCCATCCTTGAACGACTCGAGCGCAGACAGCCGCTGCTCCTGCGACAGGTCGCCGTGCAGCTCGGCCGCCGCCAGCCCGACCAGGCCAAAGACAATCTTGAGCTGGTGCGCCAGCTTCTTGGAGCGCACAAAGATGATGACCTGCGAGGTGAAGGTGCGCGTGCACAGCGCCAGCAGCAGCGCGGGCCGATGCGCCTCCTCGCTCCGCTGCTGGCTGACCCGCCCTCCGGATCCGGTGGACGACGACGCCGCCGCCTTGCTCGCTCCGCCTCCGGCCCCGGCTCCAGCCCCGGCTCCAGCTCCATCGCCATCGCCGTCGCCGCTGGCGGCCGTCAGACCCTGGCTGCCCGCCACGGCGCCGCCGGCAGCAGCGCCTCGGACGCGGACAAACTCCTGGATGAGCTTCTTGGCCGTGGTGCGCTTGGGGTCGACAAAGAGGCGGACGGGCTTGCGCAGGCTGAGGCGGACCAGCTGCTCGACGTCGTCGGTCATGGTGGCCGAGAAGAGCATCGTCTGGCGGCCCTTTGGACACTCCTTGACGATCTCGTTGAGCTCGTCGGCGAAGCCGTCCTCGAGCATACGGTCGGCCTCGTCCATGACGAGGATCTCGATGTCCTCGAGCGAAAACGAGGCCGAGTTGCGCGTGTGGTCAATCAGGCGGCCGGGCGTGGCGATGATGACCTCGGGGCGCAGCTTGAGCTCGGCCTCCTGCGACTTGAGCGACAGGCCGCCGACGCAGAGGCAGAAGCGGACGTCCATAAACTTGGCCAGCTCCTTGCCCACGCTGTAGCACTGGATCGCCAGCTCGCGCGTCGGCGCCAGCACCAGGACGCGGCTCTTGGCCTCGTCGGCGCCCTTGGCGCGGTAGCTGAGCCGCTCGAGGATGGGGATCATGAAGGCCGCCGTCTTGCCGCTTCCCGTCACGGCGCCGGCGACGAGGTCCTTGCCCGCCAGCGCCAGCGGGATGGTGCGCGCCTGGATCGGCGTGGGCTGGTGGAACGAGAGCGTCGACAGCGCGCGCAGCAGCGGCCGCGAGAGCGACAGCGAGGCAAACGTCACGTCCTCTGCCGGGCCTGCGGCGCCGTTCTTGGCCGAGGCGGCGCCCTTCTTGCCGCTGCCCCCCGCCGCCGCCTTGACCGAGTCCTCGGTGGCAAAGTAGGCCGCCTTCTTGGCCTTTTGCACCTCGGTCTCCTTTTCGTCGTCGTCGTCGTCCTCTTCTTCGTCGGAAGAGGCCGACTCGTCGTCGTCATCGTCGTCATCGTCGGCCTCGTCCTGGTCGTCGTCGTCGTCGTCGTCGTCGTCCTCCTCATCTTCCGACGCCTGCTCTGCGGCCGAGGCGCGCTGCTTTGCCCTCGCGCCTGCGCCAAAGGCGTCTTGGTCGGCGTCGCTGTCGTCTTCCTCGTCGTCGATCTGGGCAAAGTCGACGTCGTCCTCGCTGCCATCGCCCTGGTCCTCCTCCTCCTCCTCCTCCTCCACACCCTGCTCTTCCTCGACGGCGATCTCTGGCAGCTTGATCTCTGGCCGCGTCTTTCTCCGCTTCTCGATGATGTCGTCGACGCTGAGGCGGTTGCCCGCCTTTACGCCGCTGACGGACATGTCCCAGTCCTGGCCCTGCGCATAGGCGGCCTTGTCCCCGTACACGTCAAACTCAAAGTTGGCGTCGAGGTCGAGGCCGTCCTCTTTGGCGTTGGACGCCCTGCTGTTGGACTTTGACCGCTTTGCGGCGTTGGGGGCGGGCCTGACGTCTTCGCGGATCTTTTCGCGGCCCTTTAGCTGGGCCTTGTGCTTTTTGGCCTGCTGCGGTCGTGCCTCGTTGCCGTCGTGGTCGTCGCCGCCGCCGTTGTCGCTGTCATCGCCCGGAGTGCCGTCGCCGCCGAGGGCCGGTGGCTTGTCGGCCTCGAGGTCGGATACCTCGTCGTCGGTGTCGAGGGTCATGACAAAGTCATCGTTGGCGGGGACGGCCCTGGCGGTGCCCGAGCCGGCCTTGCGCTTTTGCGTTGCCGGCGGCATCGTGGGAAGGGGAGGGGAGTTGGAGGGGTGGCAGGTGGTGGCGAGGGTGGGGAGGGGGATGGTGAGCGAAGGAGAGGGTGATGGAGCCAGGATGGACGTTGGCTTTGTTGAGAAAGAGAGGCAGGCAGGCAGGCTACTGTAGGGCCTCTGCAAGAATTTCTCGCTCGAGGCGCGCTGCTGCCCGGCCTGGCCGTCCTCCCCCCAGCAAGAAAAAACTCGAAGCGGCCCTGCCTCTATCCGTTGTCCAAAGTGGGCGCCCGACTTCCGAGGAAGGATCAGCCTGCCCAGCTTGGCCTGGAAGCCTCCACCTGGCCCTGGCGCTGGACCTGGCGGTGGCCCTGGCCCTGGACCTGGACAGCTGCTGAGCGCCAAGCTTAAGCCTGCACGCCCTGCCGAGTCCAACAGGCGGGCACCGCACCGCACCGCACCGCTTCGGCCCGCCCTCTGGCCCTTTGCAAGCTGGCTAGCTACGCTCGGCTTCTATCCGTACGTGGCCATCTTCCTCCTCCTCCTCCTCCTCCTCCTCCTCCTCCTCCTCCTTCTTCCCTCTCGTCCTTCATCTTGTCCGCAAACGACGCTCGCCGCCGCTGCCGCCGCCGCTGCAACCCCCCCGGTGCTCCGCCCAACGACAGGCTTGCGCGCCGCCATGCCGCCGTCATGGATGCGATCCCTCCGCGACCACGTCCCCCAGGCGGCAGCCGCCATGGCCGCCTCGAGGATCCCCGACGTCCTCCAGCACGCAGACTGGTCTGGTAGCCTCACAAACACCCATCACAGCCCGACCGGAAACTTCAACGAGGGCATCCTCGCCGCCCTCGCCCTGCCGGGAGAGGTCAGCGCCATCGCATTCGAACCCGTCGCCGGCTACCTCGCCGTCGGCACCTCGCAGGGCACCGTCCACATCTTTGGCTCCGCACCCGTGCAGATCGCCCTCACCCTCCGCCCCGCCGTCAAGGTCAGGCACCTCGCCTTCAGGTCCGGCACCGGCCTCCTCGTCTGCATTGACGAAAAAGACAACATGAGCATCTACGACCTCGAGCGGCCCGACCCGCAGATCCGCGCATCCAACGCCTCGTCGTCCAACCACTACCGCGCCTCGTCGGCCTCCACGGGCAACAGCCTCACCGGCTCGCCCCACCCGGACACGCCCCAGCGCGTCGGCATCCACACCGTCCGCAACAAGGTCATGGCCATCGAGCTCTCCCCCGCCCACTCGCACCTCTTCCTCGGCCTCCGCGACGGCACCGTCGACGCCTACGACCTCGACCGGCTCTGCCCCTCGCCCTACCGCGTACCCAACCTCTGGTGGGAGGAGGAGGAGATCCTCCGCAAGTCGGGCGTCCCCGACGCGCCCAACCGCAGGCACGTGCCCCTCATCATCGACATCAAGTCCCACCCAAAGGACCTTAACCAGCTCCTCCTCGCCTACGAAGGCGGCGCCATCCTCCTCGACATCAAGGAGCGCGCCGTCCTAAA